TTGGTTATCAGATTTGCATATATACTATGTACTATGTTGAAGAAATTCCCCTCTAATCTAATTGAGTGTTTTAATCAGGAAAGGATGTTGGATTTTTGTCAAAGGCCTTTTCTCCATCAATTGATAGGATCATGCTGTTCTTATTCTTTCCCTTGTTAATGTGGTGAATTACACTGATTGGTTTTTCCTATGTTGAACCATCCTTGCCCACTGGTCGTGGTGAATTATTTTTTTATGTATCATTGGATTCTATTAGCCAGGATTTGGGCATCCGCTTCTGAAATGGCTTGCCTCCGGAAGCTCTATGTATGGACAGTGCTCAGGCCTTTCGTTCATAAGGTCACTATGAGTTGTCTACGACTCAATGGCACCTAACAACAGCAGCATCGTTGGATTCTATTAACCAGGATTTTATTCAGGATTTTTGCATATATGTTCATGAGTGATATTGGCCTATAGTTTTCTATTTTAGTGGTATCGTTACCTGGTTTTGGTATCAAGAATACATTTGGATCATAAAATGAATCTGAGAGAATTCCATCTTTTTCTGTTTTCTGAAATAGTTATTGTAGGATTCATGACAGTTTCTCTGTAAATGTTTGATAAAATTCACTTGTAAAGCCATCTGGTCCAGGACTTTTTTTGGCTGAAAGGTCCCCCCCCCCTTTTCAATTTCTTCTTTTGTAATGGGTCTGCTCAGATGTTCAGTTTCAGTTGGTATCAGTTTAGGTAGGTTGTAAATTTCTAAGTATTTGTCCATTCCCTCTTGGTTTTCATATTTGTTTAAGTATAATTTTTCATAATATTCCAATGTTAGCCTTTTTATTGTAGTTGGTTCTGTTGTAATGTTGCCCATTTTCTCTCTTAATCAGATTATTTGTGCCTTTTCCTTCTTTTCTTTCATTAGTTTTACTGGTGATTTTCAATTCTATTGACCTTTTCATAGAACCAACTCCTTGTTTTGTTGAAGATTTCAATTGTTTTTTGGTTTTCTATACCATTTATTTTTGCTCTAAATTTTATTTCACTTTTTATAAAGGGTGTCGGCTATCTTGCTGTTCTTTTTCAATTTTTTTGAGATGCTGGATTAGAGAGTCAATAGACATTTTTTCCTGCTATTTGATATGTTTGATAATTGCTATAAATTGACCTCTTATTACTTCTTTGGCTGTTTCCCAGAGGTTTTGGTAAGTGGTGTTTTCATTGTCATTTGCTTCAAGAAACTTTTTTATTTCATTTTTTATTTCTACTAGTACCCATTCATGTTCAAGCAAGGTGTTGTTCAGCTTCCAGATGTATGGTTTTTCTCCTTTATCCTCTTGTTATTAATTTCTAATTTTGTAGCATTGTGGTCTGAGAAAATGCTTTGTATTATTTCTATGTTTTTTAATTTGTTGATGCTTGCCTTGTGACCTAAAATATGATCTATTCTGGAGAATGTTGCATGCACATTGGAGAAGAAGATATACTGTGTTAGTTTTGTTTTTTTTGGGGGGCGTCCATAAGCCTATAAATATCTATGAGGTCGAGTTGGTTTATTGTGTGGTTTAATTCTAGAGCAATTTTGTTGAGTTTTTTCCTGGTAGTTCTATCTTTTCTTGAGAGTGTTGTATTAAAGTCTCCAACTACTCTTGCAGTGTTTTCTATTTCCTTTTTCAGTTTTGTTAATGTTGGCTTAATATATTTTGCAGGTCTTTCATTTGGTGCATAGATATTTACTATGTCCTCTTGTTCTATTGGCCCTTTAAGCATTATGCACCTCTGTAAGAAAGACATCTCTCAGGCTTTCCTGTAATGCTGGTCTTGTTTTTACAAACCCTCTTAGGTTCTGTTTTTCGGCAAATATCTTGATCTATCCTTCATATTTTATAGATAATTTTTCTGGGTACAGTATTCTTGTTTGACAGCTAGTGTTCTTTGGGTGTTCGATATATGTCCTTCCAGTCTCTTCTTGCTAACATGGTTTCTACTGAGAAATTGGCACTTAATCTTATCTGCTCTCCTTTTTAGGTTACTCTTTGTTTCTGCCTCGCTGCTTTAAGGATTCTCTCTTTATATTTGTTACTGACAAATTTAACTATGATATGCCTTGTTGTGTTTTTTTTTTTCTTTTGGGTTCTATTCTATACGGTGTTCACTGAGCATCTTGAATATATATTCTCTCATTCTTCAAAATGCCTGGTAAGATTTCCTCTAGCAATTCTTCCACAACAATTTTGGTGTGTTTACTTGCTTATTCCTATTCTGGGATTCCAGTGATGTGCATGTTATTTCTCTTGATGGTGTCCCACATTATTCTTAGATTTTCTTCTTTTCTTCCTTTTTTATTCTGCTTTTTCCTCTAGCAGATCAGTGGTGACAATTCTATCTTCCATTTCACTGGTTCTGTGTTCTGTCTCTTCAACTCTGCTCATGTGTCCCTCCATCATGTTGACAGCATCTGAAACATTGGACGTTCATTTTGAATCATGGTTTCTTATTTTTCCAGTGTTGCTAATGCCTCATTTGTTTTATCTTCATTGTTCTGTATTGGGTTTTTTTGTTTGTTTGTTTTTGCTCATCCTGGTTTTTGCTTGTAGTATCCTGTAATTCTTCAAGTTTGTCTTTTATCTATTGAAAATATTCAATCATTGTTCTTTTAAATTCTGTGTCAGAAAGTTCCATCAGACTTTCTGACTTCAGGAAATCTAGTGATACTCTGTCACCCTTTGGGGGTAACATCTTGCTTTGCACTTGTGTATTGTGTAAAATAGCTTGCTTTCTTTGAGACATTAATATATTCTTTATCTGAAGACAATGCTCTAGAATTCAGTTGGGCAGCTACCCCACTTATGTTTTTCTCTGAACTTCTGACTCAAGGGAGACGGTCAGTTCAGAGCCTGTGAGAGCAGCCTCTTGTAGGTAAGTCAGATCAAGGTGCTCCGGATTAAAGGCATGTTGTTTGACTGGACGTGTAAGTACAGGTGTGGAGCCAAATGGAGTGGGGCAGGCAGGGGGGTTGGGGCAATCACAGGGGCGGGTCAACCAATTTGCTGGCCTCACTCAGATCTCAGCTGTCTAGTTGCTTTCATGATTGAGATCCCTACTCAAATTCCAGCTGTCCGTCTCCCACCCAGCAGTTCTCACTCAGTGATCCCTGCCCAGCGGCACTTGCCCAGGTGTCCTCACTCAGTGGCTCCTGCCCAAGTGACCTTCCTTGGTGACATTTCCCTGGTCCAGTGAACCAGAGAAGACTCAGTCAAATTCCCATAAAACAGTGCTGCTTAATGTTCCTGTAGCTCCAAAACTAATTGTTCCCACAATAGTTCTTATTCAAATTCCTTTTGTCCACGTCATGCAACAGACCCACTGGGTTTTAGTGGGGCTTAAGAGAATTCAGTTTCCTCACTAAGCTTTCTTCTTTCAAAAGAGTCCTACAAAAGCTCAGCTAGCAGCTTTGGGCTTTGACCAGGTCCGCTGCAGGACCACGGCTTTGTGTTCCTGTAGTTCCAAAACTAATTGTTACAAAAGAAGTTCTGATTCAAATTCCTACTGTCGATATTGTGCAACAGACCCACTGGGTCTTAGTGGGTCTTAAGAGAATTCAGCCAATTTCTCCACTAACCTTTCTCCTTTCAAATGAATCCTAAAGCAGCTCAGCTAGCAGCTTCTGGCTTTGGCTGGGTCCATGGTGGGACCACGGTGTGGTGCAGCTTTATGTTTCTGTAGCTCCAAAATGAATTGTTCCAACAAAAGTGCCGAGTCAAATTCCTACTCTCCACATCATGCTGTGATGGTTGGTCTCTGTGCAGCATTAAGGACTCTCTAGTGGCCAATCTTTATGCAGCTTGCTATTCACACTGTACTCTCTACCGCCTACATCTTGGAATCCTCCTATCTTCATCCTAACACCACTATTTCCATTAAAGCTTTGATAACTAACTAACCAGTAGCAGGTGAATCTCAACTATGTTAGCATTTGCTTTATTTCTTTAAAGTTATTTGAATGCAATGGATTGTATAGTACCATCTGACTTGAGCTTCTTCTACCTAAGTTTATTTGTTCAAAATTCTCTAACAGAAATTAGACTCAATCACTTCTGTAAATTGGTCTGAATTTCTGCTAGAATTGTTTAGAGAAAGGTACTATCCATCCTAAATTATAAGAACGGATTCTGAATATCTTTTCTACCTTTATATACTAGAGACAGACTGGAAATTAGCTCATCTTTGGGCCTCCTTAAGTCAGGATTCTTGGGTCTTTTGTCCAGAATCTGTAACATACTTCTCAGTTTGCTGGTTGAGTTCTTTATCTGCAAATACTCACAATGTAATAACAATACTGCTCCACTTCCTGCTATACTACCCCTTCTAGCATTCTGAACCCTAATGCTGGACAAACACTGCCCCTTCACTTTTATGTGGTAGATTATTCTAAGGAGTGAGTGTCTCTCTGATGTAATTTTTCCCCTTATAAGCCTGTCTATTATTTGACTGGAAATTAAACCATAGGGTTTTTTTCCATGTGACTAATTGTATAAGCACTCTCGTCTTTAAAAATGTAATAGAACTTGAAAATCCTGCCCTAACAAATGGGAATGTTATGATTCAGTATTACTTAAAGTGCAAACATTTTAATTAATAAATTGCAAGTCTGTGTTTTAATACATTTGGTATATAGACCACATGTCATGGTATAGTTCATAACAAGAATTTTTCTTATTTCATAAGTATGAATGTTAAAGACTTCATGGTAGTAATAATTGCCTTTTGAGGGCTTTTGGTTTGTATTCTAATTTATCTGTTAATAAAAATCTATTGAGTACTAATATATATATATATGTATATACATGTATATTGAGTACTACCTTATAGTCATGAACTAGGTAGAATTAATACAAAGGTAAAAAGTATATGTTCTCTCTCTTCCTCTAAGCATCTGTGCATAATTAATATTAATGTAACTGATGTTCACTCTATGTATACTTAATTACATATAATTATTTATTTTCTTTTCCTAGAAAAAATTAGAAAATTCGAGTATGAAATTGAATATGAATCCAACAAAATGAAGTCTAGCTTAAAATCCTTCGTAACTATATATTTGAAAAAATTAAGTTGTAAAATCAAGAAAAACCAGATAAAACTTGTTTTCATGCTGCTATTTAAACCAATGAAACCAGTGAGGTAAATCTATTCTTTATCCCTTTTTTTCTTTAAACAATATCATCCTTCACTTAGAAGCAAGGTCTGATTCTATTTTCTGTATTTTCATATTAAGATTGTATCAGTTCTGAAGAGCTGAGGGAAGAATTTGGATTATATCTATCAAGATATGACATAAAATTTCCATGAGGGGGGAAAATTACTAAAAATCTGAAATGTTCTTTAATAATTAAGACCTCTTTTTTTACCTCTTTAAGGAATTAAAGTTATCCTCTGATGAATGAAAAGTGTAATTTATAACATTTTCTGCCAAAATGCTCTTACCTGGTGAAAAACACTGACTACATAACAATTCTTGTGCTACTTCCCAGAACCAGTTAGAATAATGAAGATGTACAAATTATATTCTACATTGCAGCAAACTTCATTTATTATTTTTCCACCATTAAACACCTCAACACCATATATCCTCCTGAAAAGTGCAACTCAGTAATGCTGGAATCTGTGAAAATAGTGACTTTTTTATTATTTGTCCTCTGAACATTTTAAATTCACTTTCTGATTAACTGAACTTGTAAAAGTGGTAGTGGTTAGGTGCCATTTAGTTGGTTCTGACCCATAATGACAATAGAAGAAAATACTACCTAGTCCTGCCCCATCTTTACAATCTCTGCTGTGCTTAAAGCCATTGTTGCCTACACAGTGTTAATCCATCTTGTTGAGGGACCTTCTACTTTAACATGAATGTTGGGTTTTTTCTCCAGGGACTGGTCCCTCCTGATAAGTAGATAAGATGAAATCTCCCCATCTTAGCTTCTAAGGAATATTCTAGGTACCCTTGTTATAAGATAGATTTGTTTGTTCATTTGAAAATTCATGAAATATTTCAATATTCTTTCCCAACACCAAGATTCAACAGCATAGTTTCTTCTCTCCCATTCCTTATTAATTTTCCAACTTTCACATGCCTATCAAACTAAAAAAGCTCAAATTCACCACTGTTTAGTTGGTTCTGACCAGAGTGACCTTCTATTGAGTTTCCCTATGACTGCAGTTTGTTGTGTACCATAGCGTTGGAACCAACCCATAGCTGACTCTCCAGCAGGTTTTCAGAAGCAGTTTATCATACAGGAGGAGATTGCTCATCCTTTCTCAGAGCAGCTGGTGGATTTGAACCGCATGACTTTGGGATTGAAGCACAGCTTCTTGCTACTAGACCACCAGGCCACCCTTAAATGACTGAAAATATCATGGCTTGGGCGAGGTATACCTTTGTAATCAAAGTGTCATACTTGCTCTTTAGCATTTCAGAGAGGTCCTTTGCAGCAGGTTTCCCTGAAGTATTATCTTATTTCTTAACTGCTTGTCTTATTCTCAACTGCTTCTTCTATGACTTTTTTGATACAAGGAAAATGAAATCCACAACAATCTTGTCCCCTCTCACCACTCTGTTTGTCATGATGATATTTACTGTACCATTTTTTTTTATTTCAAGGTACAATCCATACCAAAGACTGTATGTAGTCTGAACTTCATCATTAAGTGCTTCATATCATCTTCATTTTCAGCAAGCAAGATTCTGTCATCTTTGTCTCACATGTTGTTCATAAGTCTAATCATGGTGTCTCATTCTTCTTCATATAATCCAACTTCTCTGGTTACTTACTCAGCATGTTGTTGTTGTTGTTGTTATGTGCCGTTGAGTAGCTTGCAACTCATAGCAACCCTATGTACAACAGCCCTAAACTCTGCTCTGTCCTGTGCCAATCTCACTGTCTCCGATACACCCATCCCAATTACCCTAGTCACTGAATCAATCCACCTCATAGAGGGCCTTCTCCTCCTGCACCTGCCCTCCACACTGCCAAGCATGATGTCCCTCTCAAAAGACTAATCTCTCCTTACAACATGTCCAAAGTATGTCAGAAGAAGCCTCAGAATCCTTGCCTCCAAGGAGCCACCCAGTTTAACCCTTTCCAGGATGAATCTGTTTGTTTTCTTAGCATTCTATGGCATCCTCAATACTCTTCTCAGGCACTACAGCTTAAAGGCATCCTATCCTCCTTAGTCATTGTTCAACTCTCTGATGCATAACAAGTGATTGCAAAGGCCATGGCCTGTATCAAATGCACCTTAGTCTCCAGAGAGACAGCATTGCTCTTCAGTACTTTGGAGAGGTCCCTAACAGCAGGCTTTCCCATGGCAATATGTCTTTTAATTTCCTGGCTGCTGGTGCCAAGAGTGTTGGCTGTGGAGCCAAGCCGACTAAAGTTGTTAGCAATCTCAATATTTCCACCATCCATCCTGATGCTGCCAATTGGTCCAGTGGTGAGAATCTTTGTCTTCTTGATATTGAGCCTCAATCCATATTGAAGGCTGCAGTCCTTGACCCTCTGCAGAAAGCGCTTCAAGTCCTCCTCAGTTTCAGCAAGCAGGGTTGTGTCATCTGCATAACGCAGATTGTTGATACATCTTTCACCAATACTGATGCCGCATTTCTCCTCATAGAGCCCAGCATCCCAGATAATCTGTTCTGAATACAGGTTAAAAAGGTATGGAGACAGAACACATCCCTGGTGTATGCCCTTCCCAATTTTGAACCATGCAGTGTTTCTTTGCTCTTGTTCTGATGACTGCCTCTTGGTCCAAGTATAGGTTTCACATTAGCATGATCAAGTGTTATGGGGTTCCCCTTCTTCTCAGAATCAACCACAGTTTGTTATGATCCACACAGTCAAATACCTTTGCATAATCAATGAAACACAGATATACATTACTCTGGTATTCCCTGCTTTCAGCTAAGATCCATCTAACATTAGCTGCAATAACCCTAGTACCACGACCCCTTCTAAACCTAGCCTGGACTTCTGGCAGTTCTCTGCTCATGTGCTGTTCCAGTCGTTTTTGGATACTCATCAGTAGAAACTTGCTTGCATGTGAAATCAATGATATTGTTCTATAGTTTCCACACTCAGAACCCTGCACTGTCTTGAGCCTACCTCATTGTCTCTGACACACCTACCTCCATTACCCCAGTCTCTGAGTTAATCCATCTCTCCCAAGGTCTTCCTCTCTTGTGCTGTCCTTCCATCCTTTAAAGCATGATGTCCCTCTCCAAAGACTGGTCCCTCCTTGCAGCATGCCCAAAGTATGTCACACGGAGCTTCAGAGTCCTTGCCTCCAAGAAGTAGCCTGGTTTTACCCTCTCCAGGGTGGACACCACAACTCAAAGGCATCAAACATTCTTCTATCATCCTTAGTAATTTTCCAGCTCTCTGATGAATAGCAAGTACTTGTGGTGACCATGGCCTGGATCAGGTGCACCTTAGTCTCTAGAATTACATCATCATACTCTGGATAGGTCCCTGGCAGCAGATTTTCCCAATGCAATTTGTCTTTTTATTTCCTGGCTGCTGGTACCAAGAGTGTAAGTTGGGGAGACAAACAACCTGAAGCTGTGAACAATCTCAATCTCACCATGTCTTTCACGATGCTGCCAATTGGCCCAGTGGTGAGAATCTTTGTTATCTTAATGTTGAACTTCAATATTTCCATTCGTGTCTCAGTTCTAATTTCTTTGGATTATATTCCTTGTAGCTGGGTCACATGGTATTTCTGTGTTTGGATTTTTGAGGAAATTTCAGACTTTCTTCCAGAGTGGTTGTACCATTTTACAATCCCACCAGCAGTGCATGAGAATTCCATTCTTTTCACATTCTCTCCAACATTTATTGCTAGTTGTCCTTTTAAACTTTGCTACTGGTACTGGGGCAAGATAGTATCTTAATTTTTTAATTTGAATACTCTGATTTCCAGTTACTTTTAGCATGTCTTTATGTGTCTGTTGGCCATTGGAATGTCTTATTTAGTGAAAAGCCTTTTAATATCTTTTGTCCATTTTGTTACTGGCTTATCAGTCTTTTCTGTGTGGTGGCCCTGCAATATTCTATAAATTTCCTTATAGGACCCTTGTCTGAAATGTTTTTCCCTAGTCTGCAGGTTTTCTTTTCACCCAATTGGAAAACGTTTTTCATGTGCATGGGACTTTTTAGAAGGTCGATTTTGTTGTGCATTTCTGGCTATAATTACAAGCCTACTTATACCATAGGCTAGGGCTTCTAAATTTGCTCTCATTTTATCTCTTATGATGTTTATGGTCTTGGGATTTACCTCCTAGGTCTCTGATCCACATTGAGTTGTTTGTGTGTGTGAGATGGGTGATGTGGATCTTGCTTCGGCTTTCTTCAGGAAGATGTCCAGTTTTGCCAGCACCATTTGTTGAAGAGGTTGTCATTTTCCTATTTAATAGGTTTTGATTACTTGTCAAATACAAATTGACTATAGGTTGTTATTGTTATGTGCAGTCGAGTCACTTGCAACTCATAGGGACCCAATGCACAACAGCCCTAAACCCTGCTCTATCCTGCGACAACTGCACCGCCTCTGACACACCCATCCCGATTACCCCAGTCACCGAATCAATCCATCTCATAGGGGATCTTCCCCTCCTGCGCCGTCCCTCCACCCTCCCAAGCATGCTGTCCCTCTCCAAGGACCTGTCCCTCCTTACAATATGTCCAAAGTATGTCAGACAAAGCCCCAGAATCCTTGCCTCCAAGGAGCAGCCTTGTTTAACCCTCTCCAGGATGAATCTGTTTGTTTTCTTGGCAGTCCATGGTACATTCAATATCTTCCCCAACACCACAGCTCAAAGGCATCAATTCTTCTTCTATCCTTCTTAGTCGTTGTCCAACTCTCTGATGCATAACAAGTGATCACAAAGACCATAGCTTGTATTAGATGCACCTTAGTCTCCAGAGTGACACCATTGCTCTTCAGTACACTGGAGAAGTCCCTAACAGCAGACTTTCCCACTGCAATACGTTTTTTTTAATTTCCTCGCTACCAGTGCCAAGAGTGATGACCATAGGTAGATGGGTTAATTTTTCAGTTATTATTATATTTCATTGATCCATGTGTCTGCTATTGTACCAAAATCATACTGTTTTGGTTCATAAGCT